CCTGAGTCCAGCGATCGCTCCCCCCAGAGCCGCCTCCCAGCTGCTCCTGGGTCCTAGCGATCAACCGAGCGCACTGCAGCCGCCAGCCATAGACCCTGCCCCCTGGGGGCCCCACCTCCCCTGGGCACGGGCAGCTTCTCCCAGCACTATGTAGGCATCCTACATAGAAGCCACAGGATCTATGGGGACAGAAAGGAGACGTGCAGATCCGGGGCGGAGGGAGAAGAGGGGTTTCTACGGAGATGGGGTTGATCCAGAGAATCCAGGGTAATGGGGAGTCAGGGAAGCTCTGGTAACAGACTGGCACAGGGAGCAGTTGGTCAGAGCTGGTCTCTTGTCTCCACACCACACTCACTGGCTACCAGCCCTGGACTGGAGCTACCGGCTCTGCTCCCCTCGCTCGGGTCATGGAGCTGTCAGAGCTTTGCCACTGGGTTCCTGTGAGTAATTGTTGGTTCAGATGAACCCGCCCCTGGGCTCTATTTAAACCCCCTCATGTCTGCCCCTGACCCAGGGATTCCCTCTGCCCATGTCCTGACCGCCTCCCCCATGTGGGCACTGACTGCAGCTCCCTGTCGGGCACTTGGATGTCAGCAGCAAATCTCCTGTTGCTCTGGGTCAGGGACTGGTGCTCTGCCCACTCAGGATTGTCCCCTATGTCCCCCCTCATCGTTTTCTGATTGTCACCAAAATAATCCACCTTCTCCTGATGGCCACCTAGAAAATCCCTTGAAATGTTGGAATTGATCAGATGCAGCCATCAAAACAGACCAGTGCCACCGAGTTAAGTGCAGGGCCTCATTTTGCTAGGCCAAAAAGAAATCAAGATATTAGATAGCACTCTTAGGCTATGGTTACTGATGCAGCCATGCCACTCTATGCTCTCTAGTGCAGGGGTTCTTATAAGTATGTGGTGGCCTCCGAGCATAGCCATCAACTCCCACTGGTGGCCACTCTGACAATTTTTCCTAAAATACTTAATTCACTTTATGAAAAACAAATAAGTATGCACATATCCAGGTCCAAATCATTGTAGTTTATTTTGAAGGGTTTTTTTAGAGAATAATACAATAATATGCAGTTGAGTTTCCTCTATTCTTTACTGGACCTACACAGAATAGAAAGGTTTCAGAGTAGCAGCTGTGTTAGTCTGTATCCGCAAAAAGAACAGGAGTACTTGTGGCACCTTAGAGACTAACAAATTTATTAGAGCATAAGCTTTCGTGGACTACAGCCCACTTCTTCGGAAGTGGGCTGTAGTCCACGAAAGC